TCCATTCATCAGCGATGTGAGGACAAACGGTTATGGTTGAAGACACTGGGCAAGGGTCAAATGACTACAAAATTAACTTTAAAATCTGGGACAAAGGGCAAAACTTTGCAGATTCACTCAGGCCACAGAAATTCTGCATCAAAAAGAATTTGATTAAGAGTTTACCTGTAATTTTGTTGATAGTTAGTGGATGATTTCATCCTTTGTAAGAACAGAAATGAAAATTACCCTGTATTTCAGGAATCACTCACTCTAAACCTTGTACTGAGTTTAGTGGTTGAAAAAGGCAAATTGGCAGCTGGACTCAGGTTCTCAAATCATCAGAGGCCTCCAGGACTCCCCTGGCTCCTGCTCTGCCTGTGGGCTTTTCCAGACCCAAGCCAGTTTCTTTTCCCCCTGTTTGATAATCTTCATGTGCACTTATGAGAAGACTCTAAATAGCATTGGCAACTTTGGAGTTGAGCACAGCTCTAAAGCAATCTCCTGGACTGCTAAAAATAAAAATAATTTCAATATTATAAAGGAGAAAGAATGAAAGAAGAGTAGTGATGGAAAGGAAGAAATTAATTGGAATTGAGAGCTTTTAGGATCATTATGGTGGGCAGAGATGGAAGAGGGCATTTATGGGCAGATGTAGAACTTTGATGCCTGGGAAGGTCATGGAGCAGATCCTCCTAGAAGATATGTTAAGACATCTAAAAGACAAGGAGGTCATCCAAGACAGATAGTGTCTAAATCAAATCTGGGGCCTACATAAGGGATTACTGAAGTGAAGGTTCTTGAGATGGATGTGCTGAATGGAAGCATCAGTCAGCAACTGTTGAAGCTAAAGCAGTGAGCACCCTGATAGAAGTCATCTGGAAACATCCTTCAGAGTTCCATGGGAAGGAAAAGGAATAGAGAATCCACTCCTGAGTGCTTTGGTGTAAGAAGCAGGAACCTTATTCTAATGCAAACAATAACAACTGATGTTGTGTTTGAGGAAGGAGACTTGTTGGCAATTAAAATCCTCAAAGAATACATCAAAATTCTGCAAGGATCAGCTGAGCTACAGATAAGGTGCCAGATCAGTACAGGACATTAGGTCCTTGAAAATCTGGTGGTAAAAAAAATACTAGAAAGCAAGATGGGGAACTTCATATTTCATTGGACTATTCAAACCATCAGTTTGGCTGTGACCTACTGTAATGGACTGATTAAAGGTGGAGTCTGCTGTGCCACAGAGTGTGGAGCTAAAACATCTTGATGCAACAGCTGAGCTGCTGCAGGAGCTGAGCTGTTTCAAAAGCTCCAGGAGATCCCTAGCAAGCAAAAAGTTGTTACAATCAAGAACACTGCGAGTACTTACTCTCCCAAATAAGGTGTGCCAGGCAGATCCCACTTGGATACTGGGGAACCAGCCAATGGACAGTCAGGGTCCATTTTGGTACCATCCCTTGGATACTGGTGAAGTGGCCAATGGGCATCCAGGGTCTATTGGAGAGGGTGTTTAGGGTGGTGCCCAGGGGTGTGCCCAGGGTGGAACCGGGGCCTGCTGAGGGGGCTGGTGTCACTGTGTTATTCTGCCTGCCTGTTCCCGCTTCAGAGGCTACAACACAACCCAGGGAGAAGCACTTCGTGGTGGTGGTAACTCCTGTGCTGTGCTTTTAAAAGTCAGCCTTAGCTTTTCCCTGCTTTCCTATCCTCTTCCTTTCTCTCCGCTCTTTTGTGTTACAAAATAAAGCGGAATTATTGTTTTGGAATCCAGCCTCTGGCCTAGTTTGTGCCTTAATCTCACTTATGGGAGTGTTTTAGAACCTGGTTTCCCTCCACATCTAAGCATATCAGAACACCTTCCCTAAGTGACTTCAGTGAATTACCCATCAATTCAGAACTGGATTGTCTTTGAATACTCTCTAGATTTGGTTGGTTGGCTGGTGGTTGTTGTTGCAGGATTCATAACAACAATTCTGCTAATTTTTTTCTATAGTCCACATTTTGATTTAACCTCAAAACGATTGTGCTTATCCCTTCTGCATACTGTAATATTAAATATTCACATAATGAAAATACAGATAGCATATCATAAAATGAGGATGTGAACAAACAACCTGTTTATTCAAGCTGGTTTGCATTAATTTATCCAATATCAAAAATAACACAGTGTCCTATACCTGGCTAGTTTTAAATGTGTTTTCTTCCATTTCAGGTGACTGATTCCTTAGCTGTATTCCTGATTTTTTCCCCACTGTCTGATAAAACATCATTTATCATGAGAATGTTTATTAAATCCTGGATTCCTCGGTGTCTGCAGATTCTCAGGTCGCCTTGCAGATCATTCCATGGATACCACAGGCTTCTGACATCTCAGATTATTTCCCATTATGAAGCAATACACCAGTATAAAAAGGAACTGCCTAAATATTTCAACTTTGCAAGTGATGTCTTAGATGAGTGGTCACAACTGGAAAAGGTAGTATTTTTCTTTTGCTTTATAGA